GGGGGGTCACGCTCGTCTCTCTCCGTTTCTCCCTCCCCCCCCAGGCCATCGAGGGCACCTACATCGACAAGAAGTGTCCCTTCACCGGCAACGTCTCCATCCGGGGCCGCATCCTCTCCGGTAGGCCGCCCTGCAAAGCCCCCCTCCCCCCACACCCCTCCCCCTTTCCCCCCCTTCTGTGTGTGTGTCTGGGGGGGGGATGGGCTAAATGTCTATGGAAGTCCTGTCCCAAAGTCGCTTTTCCAACTGGACTTTTCCCCCCCCCCCTTTGAAAACGTTTCGCTTCTCATCCAAGGAGCTTTCTCCGTTCTGACTGAATGGTGGGGAATGGCTACGGAAAAGACCCTCTGGGACAACCATGAGAATTTCCATAGACTTTAGCGCCCACCCCTACGTGTGTGTGTGTGCATGGGTATATATATATGTGTGTGTGTGTGTGTGTGTATATATATATACACACCACTCTTAGAAGCACGAAGCTGAAGACACCAGCCTGAAGATGACGAATGTGACTTCGTCGAAACGTCGCCAAGGTACTTTTAATTCTACGCGGGAGAAAACCCGAATAACTAAAGACCTACATATATATATACATACATACATATATATTCGTCTGCTGTGTTATTTGCAACCATACATATATATATACACACACACACACACACATATATATACACACACACATACATATATATATATATATATAATATACACACACACACACACACACGGATATATCCCTCTCCCTTTTTCCTCGTGGGGGGCGCTAAATGTCTTGAGTGTTGTTGTTTTTTGATGCGCCCTGGGGCCCAAATATGGGAGGAAGAAATCTTTTGGGCTGACAGGGTGCATCAAAAAAAACAACAACACTCAAGACATATCTCCTCCCCTGTCTCTTCCCTCCCTGATACAGCTGACAAAGTGAGAAAGAGCCTGTGGCCTAGGGGTCAACACAGCTGCCTAAGTGCAAGCAGCCCAGGTTCGAATCTCAGAAGGGTATGGCTGGCGGATGAGAGCTAATTAGCTCGAAATAGCTATCCCACTCTCCCTTTAACTTTTTGTTAGCAATCCCCCCAAAATTAGTGCATGTATAATATGTATGTGGCTGCTAATAAAAACAGGATCGCCAACATCCGATAACAGATACGGCACAAGAAGAACATACATATATATATATATGCATTACTTCATATATGTGCATTACTTCATATATGCATATGTGCATTACTTCAGAGTTAGCATCCTGAAGGTCAGCAGTCGGCTCTCTTGAGAGTCCTTGAAGCCACTTGGAGGCTTATCTGTATCTTTAGAGTCCCCTGAATTGGGGTGCAAATGAGTGCAAACCCACCAGGACAGGACTGGGCAGCCCATCTGCACCTGAAAGACAGAGGCCACCCTTTGGAATGTCCACATTCTGGGCAGAGAGGACCCCTGGTTTGAAGGAGGGGGTCCAAGAAGTCATCTATGTCAAAATTGAACAGCCTTCTCTCAAGGGTCTGTTTACAACACAGACCTTTCAGCAGTTCCACACCCATTTGCACTTAGGTTCAGGTGACCCTGAAATTACAGGTGACCCCTAGGTGGCCTCAACAGTTCAGAGTGCTGAGGACCAGGTGACTGCAAGGAATATAAATCCCTCCATTGGCCGCCAGTCATTTAGAACCGAAGAAGCTTCTTGGATGAGAAGTGAAACTTTTTTTTAAAGCTAAGAAAGTCCAGTTGTCTTTTGGAAAAAGTACCTGTGGGCTATCCTGGTGGGCCACTGGCTTGTGCTTCTACCCTGCCCCCCCTTTCCCTCCCCCCGCGAGGTCGCTGTGGCAAGGGATGCTTTTCTCACGATGGTCTGCGGAGCCCCTGAAAGTGGGTGCTGTCGACACTGCCCTTTGGCACGACTGATGCCCAGCCTGGCCTCGGGCCCTTCCTGTCTCGCCCTGAAGCCCAGGATGGGCCCCCTGAGGGGCTCCTGGCCTTCATCAGGGTTCCCTCCCTCTCCCCAGGGGTGGTCACCAAGATGAAGATGCAGCGCACCATCGTCATCCGCAGGGACTACCTGCACTACATCCGCAAGTACAACCGCTTTGAGAAGCGGCACAAGAACATGTCTGTGCACCTCTCTCCCTGCTTCAGGTGAGGAAACGGCGGGAGAGGCTCCCCGGAGGCTGGCAGTGGGGGGGCTGCTGAGTGGGTTGCCTTGGGGAGGGGGTCCTTGCAAACCTCCCCACTTTACATTGCACAAGGGCCCAGGGGAGGTCCTCCCGTGCTGGGTGGTATAATTAACATGCACCTTTTGTCCTGCATGCAGAAAGACAGAAGTGGTTACACTTTGAGATATATGTGTTAATTATAAAAAAAATAGATCATTAATCTCTCTCACAGAATAACTCTGGGCAGTATACCCCCCTCTTTCCCCCCCCCCCCCGGCCTCTTGCCATGAAAAGTGGGGCAATGGCAGCCTGTATTTTTATGGCCTAAGGCAGGAGTGTCCAACCGTGTAACTTGAAGATTTGTGGACTTCAACTCCCAGAATTCCCTAGCCAGCTGCTTGCTGGGGAATGCTGACAGTGGAAGTCTTCAGGTTGCCAAGGATGGGCTCCCCTGGCCTACAGCAAGCCCTTTGGTGATGATGTATGATCTCACGATGGTCTGCAGAGCCCTAGTATGAACCGGGCGTTGCTGAAGCTGCCAGTCTGGCATTTGCTGAACCAAAGAGCTTGCTTTGCTTTGGCTTATCATGGCCCCCAAATGACTGGCAACTTGGCAAGCCTTGGGTAAGGCACCATTGGGTTGGCCCTGCCTGTCCGCTGTGTGGTCCTGGAGTTGCACCTCCGCCTTTCAGCTCATCATTTTTTGTGCTGCTGGTGAGGCCATTGATGCTGTCAAGGATGTTCAGGGGATCCTCTCGTATCAGCAGCTCCTTCCATGTGCTGTTGGCCTGCAGAGGAGAAGGAGGCTCATGTTGCGTGATTCCTTACCAGATTCCCTTCTCGCTTCCCAAGCGCAAATAACGAGGAGCATTTGGTTGAATTCAAACCACAGAAGAGTTTTATTATTGCTACCTCTAGTACAAGAATCTAATCAACTAAGGATTAGTTGAGCTAAATTGGTGGTAGATAGCAGTTATGTTGGGAAGAGTTAGCGGTAAGAGGAAATCAGGGCCGCCAAGGAACACGGTGGCCGGGCACCATCCAAGCTGACCCTGGCCCCAGAGCACAGAAGGACTCAAGTAGTGCAAGATCGGAAGTCGTGGAGAGACCCCCTGGCCCAGAGAATCACCCAAGAGTCAGACACGGCGGAAGGGAGAACATCAAGGGTGAACAGAATTCAAGGGGGGCTGGACTTAGTTTTTTTGTGGCAATGCAATGAGTCTAAACTGATGACACCTTTAACCCCACCTTCCAGCCCAGCCTCTTCCGCACCATGGTCTGCATTTGACTTGCAGGCAGCTACTTTCAGATTGGGCAGATTCAGGCCTGCAAGCCTGGTTCCATTTCTTGTTGGCCGGTCTAAAGCTCTTTCCTCCTCTTTCCCCCCCTTCCAGGGATGTGCAGATTGGGGATATCGTGACGGTGGGAGAGTGCCGCCCCCTCAGCAAGACTGTCCGGTTCAACGTCCTCAAGGTGACCAAGGCTGCCGGCACCAAAAAACAGTTCCAGAAGTTTTAAAACCTATTTGTACTTTTCTTTGTATCAATAAAAAAGCTGGTGTGATTTGGACGCTGTCTTTTTGTTAATGGCAGGTGCATTTTTCAACATTGGGAACGGCTGGGAAATGGGCGCAAAAGCACCCCTTGGCAGGCCTATTTGACGGCCTCCCTGGGAGGAAGCAGCAGCAGTGGGTGCTGTGCATCTCCTTGTGTTTTCTGTGCAAGAGAGAGATGGAGAGGGCCTTGGGAAGAAGGACCGGAAGGCCCAAGAATAACAATACAGTGGGAAGGGACCTTGGAGAGGTCTTCTAGTCCACCCCCCTGCACAAAAAAGGACATCTTGTACTATTCCATATAAATGGCTGTCCAACCTCTTAAAAACCTCCAGCGATGGAGCACCCACAACTTCTGAAGGAGGCAACTTCCGTTCCACTGACGAATTATTCCCACTGTCAGGCACTTTCCTTAATTCCAGTTTTTTTCTTCTCCATTGTTTTTTCCCTTGCCTTCTGGTGCTTTGGAAAATAGGTTGACCCCCCTCTTCTTTGTGGCAGCCTCTCAAATACTGGAATACTGCTGTCATGTCCTCCCCTGGTCCTTCTCTAGACTAGCCATACCCAATTCACTCTCGTCTTTTTTTTTTTTTTTAACACATTTTATTGGTTTTTTTTATTCTTAAGACAAAGTACTCAGGACACACCGGGGTGTTAGGGTAATCAAACATTCAAGAATAAAAACCATATGTAAATATCTCAATACATTCAATGTCCCCTCTCTTTTTCCCTCAAATAGACTTCCTAGGTACAGAGAAGAGCAACAAAGATGATTAGGGGACTGGAGGCTAAAGCATATGAAGAATGGTTGCTGGAATTGGGTATGTCCAGTTTAATGAAGAGAAGGACGAGGGGGGACAGGATGGCAGCCTTCCAGTATCTCAGGGGCTGCCCCAAAGAAGAGGGAGTCAAGCTATTCTCCAAGGCGCCTGAAGGCCGGACAAGAAGCAACGGATGGAAACTCATCAAGGAGAGAAGCAATCCAGAACTAAGGAGAAACTTCCTGACAGTCAGAACAATTAACCAGTGGAACCACCTGCCTCCAGAAGCGGTGAATGCTCCAACACTGGAAGTTTTTAAGAAGAGACTGGACAGCCATTTGTCCGAAATGGTATAGGGTTTCCTGCCTGAGCAGGGGGTTGGACTAGATGACCTCCAAGGTCCCTTCCAACTTTATTATTATTATTATTGAACCAGAGACCTGGGTACGTTATCCTGAAGCACAAGTCGGAATTAGGGGCGCCCTGGAGGGAAAGGTGAGCTAAAGAGTGGTGAGCCTCTTAGAACAGGCAGGTGGTTCGGATATAGCAGCCAGGCACTTGTAGACATAATGCCTCATGCACCCGGTGAGCTCGGAGGCCATTGGGATGTAACTGCAGAAAGGGAGCAGGACTACAAAGACAGTACAGGAAGTCCCCAGGCACAGGGAAATCAGTGGTTAAGTGATGCAGGCATTAAGTGGAGTAAATTGCTCCCAATTTACAACATTTCGTAAAACGATACAAATTCATGAGAATACAAATTGATGAGCGCTTCAGCTGTGCTGGCTGGGGAATCCTGGGCATTGAAGTCCACAAATCTCAGGAAATTGCCAAGATTGGCCACCCCTGATCCACAGTATCTCGTACCCCTCTCAAGGGAAATGCCATAGAACGGGTGTCAAACTCACAACGTCACGTGACGTGTCGTGACATATCACAACTTTTTTGCCATTGCCGGCAATGGGGTGGGTGCAGTTTTGCTAGGATGCATCCGGCCCGTGGGCTGGCAGTTTGACACCCCTGCCATAAAATGTTTCTCATAGCCAGCTTCTGGTGTTTGTGCTATAGTGGGCAGCTTTCGAGGCAGACGTGGCTCTGGATATCTCCCTGAATTTTTAAGACCTTTGGCAGCCAAGGGTGCGAAGGCATTGGAAGCTCTGCCAGGGTTGAAGACGTTGAGGAAACAGGTAAGCCAGTGATGGTGAACCTTTTAGAGACTTGAGTGCCCAAACTGCAACCCAAAACCCACTTATGCATCGTCGAGTACTGGGTGGGTGTGGGCCATTGGGTGGGCATGGCTACGGTGGTAACTGCAGACTGGGTGGGACTTAAAAGTTCAATCAGTCAATTCCAACTTTGCAAGATCTTTTTTTTCCCCTTGAGAAGTTGAAATTGATTGAACCTTTTTTTTTTGCACATGGCGGTGGAGGCCTAGAGCAAAAAAGTTTTATAAAACCCAGCTGAAGGCCTAGGACTGGGGTGACGGCGTGTGTGCCCACAGAGAGGGCTCTGAGTGCCGCCTCTGGCACCCGTGCCATAGGTTCGCCACCACTGAGGTAACCTGTTACAAATTCCTCCATTTAGAATTGCACCCTTTCAGTGGAGATGAAAGATTTCGGGATCTGAAGCAATGATGAGGTGTCCAGGGAACACACAGCGAGTCTCTGTTAACCTTCACAAGCTTTATTATTTACAATGGCTTCAGTACCATGTGAGCAAATGTGCATAAACAGGCATACTGTCCTGTCCCAGTCCACGCACATACACAAACACACAGAGTTTCATGTGTTTATTCCATTTCCCCCGACCCCCTTTTTTTCATTCGACTGCCAGGGCAGCTTTTCAGGGATCTGTTCCCAACAAAGTCAATAGAAGCCAAGCCCAACAAAGTCAATAACTAGTTCAAGTCATGGGGAAGTCAACACGGCACAACAATGTCCATACAAGTCCAAAGCACCAGGAGGTCCGCATGGAGTCCAAAGGGGCACAACAGAGCAAAGTCCATACAAGTCCATAGGTCAAAAGTGCAAAGAAGTCAGCACGAGGTCCAAGAAGCCAAGGCACGAAGAAGTCAATGGGTTCAAGGAAATCCAGAGCACGCATAACAACGGAATTGGGAACAGTTGTTTCTCAAACCCCTCAGACTGCAGAGGCCGAGCTAAATAGCTGCCATTAGGAGTAGCGAGTAGCCTCGTCAACCTCTGTTGTGCCTTCCTCTGCTTGGTTCTGCACATCCTAGTATCCAGCAGGGGAGGCAACCCCTGCTCTTTGCCACTGACCAGCTGCAGCTGCCTCTCTTCTCTGGCCAGCTGGTCATCCACACTGACTGCAGCTGTACCTCTCCTGCCTGTGCAGCGGTCTTTTCATTCAGGCGCTCACTCGTGGATTCCCAGGATATTCCTGGCATAGCCTCGCCTTGACTGCCCAGGTCCCCCTGGTGCTCCTCAACATCCTTCTCAGATGTCCCTGGAGCCAGCTCTTCCTCATTGTCTGAGCCAGCATCCAAGGGAGCCATCACAGGTGTTCACTTGCCCTGCTACACCAGGCCCAGGGATTTCAAGGATCGGGGAAGAGAAAAACACTCTGTATGTGACAGTGTCATCCCTAGATTGAAGTCTTCCATGGCTTGTCCCCTCATTCTTTGCCAAAAGCCTCGATCAAATATTCCTTTGCACATCTTGTCAGCCTTTCATTGATCTATTTGGTTGTTGGGTCAACAGTGACTTACTGCACGGCAGTTAACGGTTAACCTTCTTATATCTGGCATTTCTCTGATCCTGGTCTGATCTTGATAGACTTTTTCTCTGTAACCTCTGTGGCAGTTCTGATTCTGGGCCCTAGTGCCCTTACCTGGTCCAAAGGTTTTCTTGGTTTGCTGTGTTGGATCTGCCTAGTTCCTTCTGAGTGAGTCTCTCACAACCTCATCACAAGCAGGATTTGAGCACAAAAGCGTCTGTCCATTCTGTACATTTGCATCTGTCCTCTTTCCCCAAAGATCTTATTTCTGGCATAAGCAATCAAGATAACTGGAAAAAATTAAATTCTAAGTCTGGTGATTATATATTTGGCACCCTTGGTAGCCAAAGCAGCTTTGCCAACTGTTACCTACATGCTTTGGTGAACCTCTAGATAAGAGCCGTAAGTCCACCCTGTAGCTGAGACACCATGGCGGCCTACAAACACTGGGTCCCCAACCCATCGCACCGTCTACCGGCAGCTAAGATGAGAAGAGGGAGAAGGAGATTTGGGGAGCAGATTCAGACAGATCTGGGTTTGACAATGACCTTGTTTGGGAGGAACACTCTAATGACCTGTTCCCGAATCTCCTTGGTTCTCACTCCATAGACAATGGGATTCAACATAGGAGGAACGAGAAGGTAAAGGTTAGCCAGCAGGATATGAACATGGGGAGCCACGTTGTGGCCAAAACGGTAGGTAAGAAAGGAGAAGAGTGCTGGGGTGTAAAATATTGTGAGGACACAGAGGTGGGAACCACAAGTGCCAAAGGCCTTGAACCTGGCCTCACTGGAGGAAAGCCGTAGCACTGCACGGACAATGAAGACGTAGGAGAGGCCAATGCACAGAAGGTCCCCTCCAATGACAAGCAAGGCCACACTTAGCCCATAAGCACTATTGAACCTGGTGTCTCCACAGGCCAACCTCACCACAGCCATGTGCTCACAATAAGTATGATGGATAACATTTGTCCGACAGAAGGAGAGTCTTTTGATGAGGAAAAAACAGGGGCACATCAACAGGGTTCCCCTGACAACAGCTGCTATCTCCATCTTAGCAACTAGGGACCCAGTGAAGAAAGAATTGTATCTGAGAGGGAAGCAGATGGCCACGTATCGATCTACAGCCATGGACAGCAGCACTGCTGACTCCATTATACACAAAGCATGGATGAAGAACATCTGGGCCAAACAGGTATTAAACTGGATCTCCCTAGCCTGGAACCAGAAGATGGAAAGCATCTTGGGCAACGTAGAGGTGGTGGCTGCTAAGTCAATAGTAGACAGCATGCAGAGGAAGTAGTACATGGGCCTGTGGAGGAGTGGTTCGGATACTATGACTAGTAAAATGATAGAGTTCCCAGCAACGATGATCACATAGCCAGTGCAGACTGCCACTGAGAACCACATGTGGTACGCCTCCAGCCCCGGGATGCCTTGCAACACAAAGGTAAAGGACCAGGAGTAGGTCACATTGCCCATCATTCAGATCATCCAAGATGCACCGATCTCTTTGGCCACCAGCTTCACTGAAGATCATAGCACCTGTCAATCAAAGAAGAAAAAGAGAGATGGGAAAGTTCTTGGAGCTGCAGGAAACCTTCTCGGTCTCTAATGACACTGTGTAGGTCTTGTTCTATGCCAGGGGTTCTCAACCTTGGCAACTTTAAGACTTGTGGACATCAATTAGCATAAACAGGGGTTCTCAACCTTGGCAACTTTAAGACTTGTGGACATCAATTTTCAGAATTCCTCAGCCAGCTTTGCTGGCTGAGGAATTCTGGGAATTGATGTCCACAAGTCTTAAAGTTGCCAAGGTTGAGAACCCCTGTTTATGCTAATCTATGGACCATGCCTGAAGCAAACGCCTCCCCAGCAGAAGCTTGGAAGAAATTCAAAAAAAGTGGGTAGCTCTGGTCTCTGGGCTGTAAGAATTCAAGAATTCAGTTTTACGAATCAACTGAAAAATTCCAATAGAAGAGAATTTATGAAACTCAGATTTGAGCTGTGGAATACTTGATGCTTTCTGAGCTTGTTTTTTTTAATTGCAGATATAAAAAACTGCCTAACCACTCAACCCACTACAGCACAGCCAGCATGAGGATGACACTGGCATATCTAAGAACAGCTTCATGGAATCACCATAGCATACAAACCAACTAAAGCCTTTTGAAATATTTTAAATAAACCAATACTTATTGAAAACCCAGTAGTCCACGAATTAAAAAGAGATCATCATTCTACAACATACAGTATAAAGAATGCAACAGTCACTATGGAGAACTGATAGGCAGAAGACTAGCAGTGCACATCCATGAATATCAAACAGTCAGAAGACACAATAAAAACTCCTTAATCTCACAGCACAAATAGAGACTCAACCACAGCTTCAACTGGGTAACTGTACGCATCCTAGACCAAGGTAAATCCAAAAACGCCAGGGAATTCCTGGAAGGTGGGCACTCAGACAAATCAACCATCCATGGACACATAGAGATAAACCACATTTACACACCATTCAAAAGAGACAGTAAAAATACTAAGAAGCAAAGCAAAAGACACAGCCTCTCTAGCAACCATCACTCAGAGAACAATCAATCAAGCAGAAAACAATAATCAAGGAACTATGAAGGATGAAACCACAGTATAAGCAACATTGGCAGAGCAATATACACAAGCAGCAAACTCCAACCTCATGAGTATGGAGGATGTTACCTAGTTGGATAATGAGATATTTGCAAGCAAGCTCAGAGAACACCAAGCACGTCCCATAGATTAAAAATGTTGGCTAGGGATCTTGGAACTGGACCACCCACCCTAGCAAACAACCATCCATGATGCAGCAATTCCATGATGTGTGAATTGCTGCATCTGAAGCCTATTGAGCTTGAAAAACTCACCAGGTGGAAACAGCCTTGTCGATTGGGGGTGTCATACATCCTCCAGGGCACCCTTTGTGTAGCACAAGTGTTACACCTTCTGTGAGAATGGAATCTTTATAGGCTTGAAGAGCCCAAGTGGGATCCTTGCCTGGAATTCAAGTTCATCCCTTCGCTGCTGTTCAGGTTCTTTGGTTTTGAAGCCTGCCCCTCTTGGAGACGCTCCGGGGTGCTTTGGGGGTTCCCAGAAGGAATGGCAGACCATCTCAATACATCCCTCTGGAGACAAGGGTGGGGGAGGTGGTGATCTCTCCCTGCAGGATTGCTGGCCCCAAAGACAGCCAAGCTACTGCTGGAGCCTCTGCAGACTGGCATATTCCATGGGCAGGAGGAGCCGTTGGGCACGTGGGTGGACCATCTCAGGCACCAGGTTGATTCAGCATTGATTTTAGAACGTAACATGGGGTGATGGTGGTGGTTTGCTTGTCCCAGCCAAGGCCATATTTTTCCCCCCACCATTATCTTTACATGTAACTTCAGTGGAGCCAGAGGAAGAGAAACAGTATTTGCCAGGGGGGGGGGTTTGCAACATCTCCAGGGACCAACACGAGACTTATATACCGCTTCAGTGCTTTTACAGCCCTCTCTGACTGGTTTACAGAGTCAGTCTGCTGCCCCCCAACAATCTGTGTCCTCATTTTACAGACTTAGGAAGGACAGAAGGCTGAGTCAACCTTGAGCCGGTCAGGATCGAACTGCTGGCAGTTGGCAGTCAGCAGAATTGGCCTGTAGTGCTGCATTCTCACCACTGCGCCATCACGGCTCAATAAAATAATATGTAAAATATAATAATAATTTATTTTTTAAAAAAACACTCAAATCTAAGAGAGAACAGCAGTTGTTAATAACAATGGAGCCACCTCAGCAATGAAGCCAATATTCTCAGGGGCTGCCCCAAGGAAGAGGGAGTCAAGCTCTTCTCCAAAGCCCCTGAAGAAGGCAGGACGAGAAGCAACGGATGGAAACTAATCAAGGAGAGAAGCAACCTGGAACTAAGGAGAAACTTCCTGACAGTGAGAACAATTAACCAGTGGAACCACCTGCCTCCAGAAGTGGTGAATGCTCCAACACTGGAAGCTTTTAAGAAGAGACTGGACAGCCATTTGTCCGAAATGGTATAGGGTTACCTGCCTGAGCAGGGGGTTGGACTAGATGCCCCCTCCAAGGTCCCTTCCAACTTTATTGTTGTTGTTGTTGTTGTTGTTGTTGTTATTATTATTATTATTATTATTATTATTATTATTATTATTATTATTATTATTATTAAACTATTGCAAATAAAAAATGAAACTAAGAACAGGGACCTTTCCTCCATAATATTATGAAGCCTACCTTACTGTTACTCTTCAACCGAGAACTCCTTTTTCGGGGATGGGGGGGGGAATACCACAGAGGGATGTGAAGCTTTGAGCAAATTGGGTACCAGAGCAGCTCTGAAGGGCCAGTTTGCATAAGACACACAAGTGAATGTCATTGGCTTCCTGCAAACTATAGATAGATAGATAGATAAGATCAGGGATCTCCAAACTTGGCAACTTTAAGACTTGTGGACTTCAACTCCCAGAATCCCTCAGCCAGCATGGTCTTACCCCTGGTATACATGACTACAAGAAGCTGGGTCTTTGTGCTGTAGTGTACCAGGGTGGTGGTAGAAAGAGAGACAGTTACCTTGTGTAGTTGCCATTTCGCTTTTGTACACAAGAAAATTTGTGCCATGTGCACCAAATCCCCTTGCCCCTTTGACACGCAAGGCATAGGTGAGAAAATTTGATTACTGGCCCTGATTTTTCTGGGTGAGGGGAGCAGCAAACTTCACAAAACGAGAAATCAGAGCCTGACAGCCTAGAGTTTGCTTAATGTGAAGGTGAAATTCTTTTCATTGTCCAGTTGCACAACCCCAGCTCAACAAAGAACAAATGCATTTTTTTTTTTTTGCATTTAGTGGCCAGAATGCTCAACAGCAAAGCTTTATTTTCTGAAATACACATGCATAGAACATTGTATAATCTTATATTATAATTCAGGAACTCTAATGTCAAGAAGATTATATTCAGTTCAGAGAAATTTGATTGCAACTTTAGTACATTGCAGTCTTTTCCAAATTGACGTCCTCCCCATAGGGAAATTGATGGTGCATTTATGGAAATAATTCAAGCAACAAAAGAATAATCTGTGCATCCAAAGCATGGCAGCACATCTGGAGAATGACACAGTGGTTGACATAGCTATCATCCATCTACATTTCAATACTAAAGAGAGGAAGGTTAACAGAATATGCATATTATCATTCAATATCTTTAATTTCACACACTAACAAAATAATGCTTAGGATCATCCAATGCAGATTAGAGCCTGGCATGAGAAAAGAGATAATAATAATAAAATTGGAAGGGACCTTGGAGGTCATCGAGTCCAACCCCCTGCTCAGGAAGGAAACCCTATACCATTTCAGACAAATGGTTGTCCAGTCTCTTCCTAAAAACTTCCAGTGTTGGAGCATTCACAGCTTCTGGAGGCAGGTGGTTCCACTGGTTAATTGTCCTCACTGTCAGGAAGTTTCTCCTTAGTTCCAGGTTGCTTCTCTCCTTGATGAGTTTCCACCCATTGCTTCTTGTCCTGCCTTCAGGGGCTTTGGAGAATAGCTTGACTCCCTCTTCTTTGGGGCAGCCCCTGAGATACTGGAACACCGCTATCATGTCCCCCCTCATCCTTCTCTTCGTTAAACTAGACATACCCAATTCCAGCAACCGTTCCTCATATGTTTTAGCCTCCAGTCCCCTGATCATCTTTGTTGCTCTTCTCTGCACTCTTTCTAGAGTCTCAGCATCTTTTTTACATCCTGGTGACCAAAACTGGATGCCGTATTCCAAGTGTGGTCTTCCCAAGGCATTGTAAAGTGGTATTAATACTTCACGTGATCTTGATTCTATCCCTCTGTTAATGCAGCACAGCACTGTGTTGGCCTTTTTGGCTGCAGTTTTAGAAAAGGCTAAAAAACATGAAATATGACTGCAGAGGCAGGTAGGTTAACTGAGAAAGGAAAAATTATCAAAAAGAAATTAATATGCTACATTTAGAATAACAGAATATCAGAGTTGGAAGGGACCTTGGAGATCTCCTAGTCCAACCCCCTGTTCAAGCAGGAGACCCTATACCATTTCAGACAAATGATTATTCAACTTAAAAACCTCCAGTGATGGAGCACCCACAACTTCTGAAGACAAGTCATTCCACTGATTAATTGTTTTCACTGTCAGGAAATTCCTCCTTAGTTCCAGGTTGCTTCTCTCCTTGATTGGTTTCCATCCGTTGCTTCTTGTCTTGCCTTCAGGCGCTTTGGTGAATAAGTTGACCCCCTCTTCTCTGTGGCAGCCCCTCAAATATTAGAACATTGCTATCATGTCTCCCGTGGCAGTATTCCAACATTTGAGGGGATGCCACAAAGAAGAGGGGGTAAAAAGGCCCCTGATTTTGTTGAACATCTCAAGCTGTGGAAGATACTTAAAAATGGGGGTCCTAGAATATCTCACTGTCCTTGTGCAAAACCTATTCAAAGATCAGAAGTGTCAGGGTGATGGCACTAACCTCCCTAGAAGGTTGGTGAGACAAGGTCCTTCTAGTTATTGCCTGGCCATCTAACATTGAAAGGATTTCCTTGCAGGAGACCAACAAAAGGAGTGTGACATTGTCTTTCTGTGCAGAGATTAAGTCCTCCCGCCTTCCCTTTGGTTACATCTTCCAGAGGTTCCTGAGCATCTGGAGGAGACGGCCAGAGATCTCCTTGGTTTTCATGCTATAAATTATGGGATTCATAAATGGTGGGAACAGGATGTAGACGTTGCCCATGAGGGCATAGACAAAGGGAGGCGCATGCTGCCCAAAGCGGTGTATAATGGACAGTCCAAGCGCGGGAACACAGAAGGCCAGGACAGCGCAGAGGTGGGAGACACAGGTGCTCAGGGCCTTGAGAGGGCTGTGGCCGCTGGAGGCCATGCCCAGGGCTGCCTTCAGGATTAGGCTGTAGGAAAGGAGAATGAAGAGGAGGTCAGAGCCCATGCTGAGGAAGATCAGGATCAGGACATAGAAGTTGTTGAAAGTGGTGTCACTGCAAGCCCGGCGAATCAGGTCCTGGTGCAGACAGTAGGAGTGGGACAATGTGGGATCTGGGCAGTAGGGGAACTTTGCCAGGAAATAAAAGGCGGGCAGTAAGGCAAGGGTGCTCCTCACAAAGAGGGCAAGTCCGATTTGTAGGACTCTGGCGGTGGTCAGCAGCTCGGAGTATCTCAGAGGGTACCTGATAGCCACGAAGCGGTCCATCGCCATGGCAAAGAGCACCGCTGACTCCATGAGGGAAAAGGAGTGGAGGAAGTAGGCTTGAGCGATGCAGGCTTGACCGCCAATCTGCCGTAGGCGGAACCAGAGGACACCCAGCACGGTGGGCATCGTGATGACACAGAGGCCCAAGTCGGTGGCAGCCAGCATGGCCAGGAACTGATACATGGGCCGATGCAAGCTCGGCTCAACCCAGATGATGTAGAGGATGGAGCAGTTGCCCAGCACGGCAACCAAGTAGACACAGAAGATGGTGATGCCGATCCAGCCGTAAGCCGTCTCCAGTCCAGGAAAGCCTCCCAGGGCAAACGCTGCCATGCTGCCATTGGTGAGGGTAACGGACGCCATGGCGAGTCAGAGCGAGCGCCTGCCGGTGCCCTTCACTGATCTCCTGATGCCCTCATCTATGCCCCAGAAGGTGCAGGCTTTGCCTTCCCTCACCCACTTGTCTCACATCTGCAGGAAATGCCCCGTGTCCACCCTTCAGGATGGAATGACGCCGGCCTCTCCGCAAAAGGCTGAAGGATCACACAACCTTCTCGAGATTGTCCTCCACAGAAGAACCGAGCGAGCTCTTCAGCCTGGCGCTCTCGAATATCATGCTGATGATCTCTCCCGACTCCTCCTTGGGCCAGGAGATGGACCCAGAAGCATCTTCCTGATTTTTAACAGGTGGGAAGCTGTCTATTTCAGCGCATCAAGGCAAGGCTTCTTCAAGAGAGCCTTGTCTCTGCTCCAAGCCAGGCAATCAAGAGATGCTTTGCGAGAGACAAATCCAGCTTTTCCCCTCTTCTTCTTTGGACGGGATTCGTTCCTAGCCTTGGTCGTAGCCTGGGTTGCTAAAAGTCCTTATAAAGGGAGAGGGGGGTTGAGGTGAGGCACCTGGGATTCTTCAGCCAAGAGTAGGGGGGAATCCATGGAGACGGACGTTGCTGTGTCTTGGCGCTCTGCCTTACAACAACTCCCAGCCCTGAGCCTCAGCTGAGGTGGTCTCCCAGGTGAAGGAGTCCCCAGGAAACAGGGCTGCAGTCCCAAAATGGGAGCCTTCTAAGCATACAGCGGACGGGGGTTGTTATGTCTTCAGTTCTTCAGGCATTGAACGAAGCAGAGTGTTGAAACACAAACAAGTTATTAACTCAAAACAGAAGCAGCCCTAAAGGCTCCTGCACAGCTATTTATACAGTTAGCCTCTGGGTGGCAACCAATAGGTTTAAAGTAACACTTTCCCGCCCCAAACCTCATTCTCGGCTTGGAGACAGCCAGTCTGGCTTTCAGTAACAGCAACTGTTAAACAATACAGCAATGTAGGTCAGACATTAAGCAAGTGATTTAAAACAGTTGTGGCCAATACATTACAGGAGTATCATCCAGGCTATCTACTTGTATGTGCACACTTTCAGAGCAAGCAGCTAAATTTCATTTTTAACGTGTGCCGTTGTGCCCACAGTAAAAAATGACAATGAAGGTTATCTAATAATATCTACTGTTGGCCTCATTAAGCTGTTGCTGGAGCATCTCCCTCCCTCAATCCCGCCCTTCCTTGGTCATGTATACTTTTGGGGTGTCTGTTATAACTTTGAACAATTGTTAAGTGGTCTTAAAGGCGGGAGAAGCCCTGCCATTTTCCTGTGCATTTCCTGCCCTTGTGGGGTGACCTTCCCCCAGGGGGTCACTCTGTGCCCATCTTATGGACTGTCCATCAACAATTAAAATGTGGTTGTTGTCCTTGCCTTGGAATAGGAAGGGTGGGGTGGGGTTGAGTCCCTGTGCTTTAGTGTGTTTGGGGGGGGGAGGAATGCAATATGAAGTTGGTCGTCTGGTCATCTGTATTATTCTTTTATTTATAATGTTTTCTTTCCTGGTAAGCCCCACAGTTGAGCGGTTCTGAAATTGCCATTCATAAATTAGAGGCAGCACATTGATTGTGTGTGTGTGTGTGTGTGTGTGTGTGTGTGTGTGTGGCAAACATGGGAAATTAACCCCTTCTCCTTCTCTTCCAGAGGGGGGAGATAGACTCATCTCACATATGATAAAAACAATCAAACCTTTTTAAAAAAAATACAAGGGAAGATATAAGCATTCCTTTTAAATTTTAAATAGTTACATGTGTGGAATAGAATAGAATAGAATAGAATAGAGAAGAGAAGAGAAGAGAGCTGGAAGGGACCTTGGAGGTCTTCTAGTCCAGCCCCCTGCTCAAGCAGGAGAACCTATAACATCTCAGACAGGTGATTGTCTAGTCTCTTCTTAAAAATCTCCAGTGATGGAGCGCCCACGATTTCTGGAGGCAAGCTGTTCCACTGGTTGATTGTCCTCACTGTCAGGAAGCTTCTCCTTAATTCCAGGTTGCTTCTCTCTTTGATAAGTTTCCAACCCTTGTTTCATGTCCTGCCTTCTTGTGCGTTGGAGAATAACGTGACCCCCTCTTAATAATAATAATAATAATAATAATAATAATAATAATAATAATAATAATAATAATAATAATAATAATAATAATAAAGTTGGAAGGGACCTTAGAAATCATCTAGTCCAATCCCCTGCTCAGGCAGGAAACCCTATACTTCTTTGTGGCAGCCCCTCAGATACTGGAACTCTGCTATCATGTCACCCCTGTTTCTTCTTTTCTTTAGACTAGCCAAACCCAAGTCCTGCAGCCGTTCTTCATTTGTTTTAATTTCCAGGCTTTTGATCATCTGAGTTGCTCTTCTCTGAACTTTTTCCAAACTCTCAACATCTTTTTTTGTCTACAGACCTTTGTTGTTGTGTTGGCTCGGCTCTCTTGTGTGTTGGAGCCCACTGACTTAAAAAACCTATGACCACATGGTGGCAACAGTGGGATATCCACAAAAGAGGTGGGCTGTCCAACACAAAGTGGCAATCACATAAGTTACATGAATCACTCAATGAAAAAGAAACAAGCTTTGGGTGAACAACATTTAAAACAAACTATTTATTTATTATCGTGGTTTTTAGTATCACCTGTTCACCGCCCTGAGTCCCGCAAGGGAGATAGGGCGGTATATAAATTTAATAATAATAATAATAATAACATGCTGTAATAGGGAATCTTGGCCAACGGGCTACCACAGACCTCATACCAGGGGTGGGAAATTAATTTCCTAAGGGGCTACATGAGAAACTGGGACTGTTGTGGGGACCACTGCCCCTTCTCTCTAGCATGGGCTGGACAGGATCAGCTGAAGGGCTGGGCTATGATCTGTGGGCTGGACAAGGACAGCTAAAGGGCCACGATGACCCATGGGCAGCAGGTCTGGCCCACATTGAACAAACATGGAAAAGGTGGAGGGGACACATTCTGCCTTAGAAGAGACTATTTTAATAGGGACAGGAATCTGATTTTGGGTTATTTGACAATTTGACTAATTAACACTCCCATGAAGCCAGTTCCATATACCAGTAATACAGAGATGTTAAAGCAACATGTCAGAGCATGCACAGTCTTATTGCGCTGAGGTAACCCAGGAGTAAATACAGGAAACAGTGGTTTGTAATTAAATGGTGGTTTATATTACAATATCTACAACTATACACTAGAAACAAAATACATACACGTGGTGATTCAGCAAACTCCAATACGCAGCAGTTACAGCAGTCAAACAGACAAGAGAGAAAGACTCCAGCAAGGCCTTCCCTTTTATACTCAAGCTCTTAAAGGGATACAGACTCCTGCTGAGTCATTCCTAACATTGCATCATTCATCTCACATTATACAGGCCGGTTAGCTTCTAAATTATTACCTTGACACAACAGCAAGAAGAAAGGCTTCAGTTAATTAAGAGTAAGAGCAGCAAACTTGGAGGGGGACAGAAAGGAACTTCCATAAGATCCTCTTAGGGATCTAATACCTCGCACAGAATTGTAAATCTCTAGGAGTGATCTGAAAAGGTTAACAGCGTAAATGACAGTGGCCAGAGTACAGGCCTCCTTCCACCAATCAAGGTTTGTCCTATACTGTGACTCAGTAATTGCCGAGATTTGTTTTGTTCCCTGCCACGGTTAGATGAAAATGAGGGAGCATCTATTGTCCTCAAAGGGAGAACGAGAAAGAAACCAAAACAGAACTTTTTCCTAAGGACACAGGACACTAAGCAGACAAGTTCTCATGAATGACCAGCATCCACCAAAGACCGCAATCAACTGGGTACCACTTGATGGTCAGAGAAAAAGGAAGGCCACAGAAAAACTGGTGCCAAACATTTCAGGATCCCCAACCGATCGCACCGTCTACAGGCAGCTAAGATGAGAAGAGGGAGAAGGAGATTTGGGGAGCAGATTCAGACAGATCTGGGTTTGACAATGACCTTGTTTGGGAGGAACACTCTAATGACCTGTTCCCGAATCTCCTTGGTTCTCACTCCATAGACAATGGGATTCAACATAGGAGGAACGAGAAGGTAAAGGTTAGCCAGCAGGATATGAACATGGGGA